GAAGAAGAAATTTATATGAAGCAACCCGAAGGGTTTGAAAAAGGAAATAAAGTATGTAAACTAAAAAAGGGTTTATATGGTTTGAAACAAGCAGCAAGACAATGGAATAAAGAAGTGCACAGAATTTTCGAAGAAAATAATTATGTGCAGAGCAGTAGTGATCAATGCCTATATTATAAAACAGATCAAGAAAATACAAATTATGTATTAATTCATGTCGATGATATATTAATGGCATGTAACAGTGAAGCGATGATGACCGAGTTACAAGTAAATATGAATAGGGAATTTGAATTAAAAGATTTGGAAGATTCAAAATATCCTTTGGATCCTGGATATGAAAAATTAGTTTGTACAGAAAAACTAGGAGACAACAAAGAGTATCAAAAATTAATTGGAATGCTTTTGTATATATCAACCAATACAAGACCTGATATATCCGCAAGTGTATCGATTCTTAGCCAGAAAATAAAAGATCCAACAAAAATTGACTTAAACGAAGTAAAAAGAATAATTAAATATTTGAAAGGAACAAAAAATCTGAAGTTGAGATTAAGTAATAAAGCTGGAAATTTAAGTCTTCATGGATATTCAGATGCAAATTGGGCTGAAAACAAAGTTAATCGAAAGTCTAATAGTGGATATATTTGTTTGGTGAATGGTGGTACAGTCAATTGGGCATGTAGAAGACAAGATTGTGTTTCTTTATCTTCAACAGAGGCTGAATATATTGCATTGGCAGAAACAGTAAAAGATATGATGTGGATTAGGAATATCTGCAAAGATTTTAAGATTGTTAATCAAGAACCAGTAAAAATTTATGAAGATAATCAAAGTTGCATTAAAATGACTGAAAATCTTAAATTCAGTAACAGAACAAAACATATTGACACGAAATATCACTTCATTAAGGATTTGAGAGAAAAGAAAGAAGTAATTGTAGAATATTGTTCAACAAATGATAACATAGCAGATATGTTAACAAAACCATTAACTGGTGAACGAATTAAAAAATTGAGAGAAGCAGCTAATCTACAAAATAAATATTCTTTTGAGGAGGAGTGTTGAATATTGTAAACCAAAACTGTAAGTATTAGGTCAATAACGAGTATAAACATGTTAATGCACGATTGTCAGTTTAATAGCTTACACCGAATACTTAGTAATAAAAAGATGATCAATTTATGTTTAATAGCTTGACAGAAGTCATAAAATAATTCATATGATTTATGATAGTCAAATAGTTGATGAAACTGTATGTAACATTCATGTAATTTTTAATATAAATAGAGCAGACAAATTTGAAATAAAGCTAGTTATAATTCAGACTCCAAACATTGAGTGAAGTATTCTTCTGTTTCAGTAGTATTTAGCTGTGTAGTCTATACTGCAAAAGAAGATTTATTTCGTCGGAAAAGAGCATATAACTCGGATAAAGGAAACTGATTGAGAATCACCATGAAAGAACAACAAGGTACATTGTTGCGCCCTCAATTTACATTGGTAAAGCTGTAAATTTTTTAAAAATATTGGGGAGGTCACAAAGATGTGTTACTGATCCAAATTAATCAAAAATGATCAAATTCGATTCATTGGTACCGCACTATTTGCAAGTCCAACACTTATTCTTGCTTCAACACTCATACTCTTGCATCCAGACCTGAAAACGACTGACCTCCGATCTAGGTGAATCAAGACCCCATGAGACAACCCTGGCTAAGCCCCTACTCTCTCAAATCAACCAATTAGACACCCATTTAAATAGAATCTACCCTCACCTTCATACTTTTCTCAAATTGTCTCGAAAACTGTGTTTTGACATGTGTCCAAAAATGAGCAATTAAGTTTCACAAGCTCTACACGTTGTCAGCAAATTTACACAATTTTTTTTTCAAATTTTGACAGTGAAGAAGGATAAGAAAAGAGCAGCAGGAAAAAAAAATATTGCATGTCATAAATTTCCATAACATGTCACAATCACATCATTCCAGTCACAAATATTTGAGCAGAAAAATGCAACATTTCACAATATGGACAAAAGAGATGACAACAAGTTGGATGCTAAGCAATTAATTAACATCGCATGTGTGTCTCAAATTTTAATTAAATGCAAACATTGCATCTTCAATGATTTTTTTCGTTCCTTTCTTCTTGTTTTTTCATGCAAGTTATAAAAAAAAATTCATTCATTTTTTATTCAATGCTGAGTAAATGGAAGTGGGGTGGTGTGGGAGGTAAAGTCATGAAAGATGCAAGTAGATTGTAAAAGGAATTTCATATCATTCATCTTATTCGTAAAGTTTTATTTTTTTTTGAAGAAGAGAAATGTGAAAAAAGAAAGAAAAATAACGGAACTGAAGAAAAAAAATTATTTTGTGAGACGAAATGAATGTGAATGAAGTTATGTGCAATAACAAGTGATTGTAAGACTAAAAACGACATGCAGGGGAATGAGAATATAGTGTGAAAGTAACAATTGAATAGTACATGCAGGGTTGATGTTTGTGGTGAAATTATAAGGAACTTGACTGCTTCTATTAAGGTCTAACACTACGATAACCCTCAACATATAAAACTAGGGTTATCTTTGGCTATTAGCAATGGAAATCCATACTTAGAACATGACTACTAAGAGTAGTTCACATTGAGTCAATTTGCCTAAACTCGACTCAAAAATAAGTTAACTTAATCTTTCCAAATCGACTCTAAACCAACTCCTGATCCAAATTTATCACAGCTGCATACCATCAACACTGCATTACAACATGCAAAATAACGAATCTTCAACATGAAATTTAATTTTGAAATGCCAATCAAGTCACAGAATGAGGTTGAAAAATTTTCTACATAATTAAGTGACGATGGTCGATTTGTTGGAAATTAAAAGCAAAAAACTTCAGATTTTAAATGAAAAAAATAAAGTTTAGTCATGCAAGGATGAGGAAAAATGTAATTAACAGATTGAACAGAAAATTAATTAAAATTCACAAAAGAGCGAGAGCAGATTTAACAGGAAAAATTGAACAATTTTATTAGGATTTGGAAGTCTCTCGATTTATGTTAAATTTACGTCCGTTTGGTTAATGCTCGATTTTGACTAAATACATTAAATATTCAGTCGTGACGATTTATGGAAGCTTTCTGAAAGCTTCTGAAATTGATGATTAATGTAATCGTTTAATGCGCTTTTATGACATCATTAAAAAATGATGGCTTAAGAATCCGGACCTTCTTAAAAGAATCGGACTTGCTTGAACATTTTTATTGTTGAATAAGGAGCTTTAAAAGCTCTTGGAAATTTTTAAAGCTTTCATTTTGGATCAAAGCTATTTTAAGATTTAATTTTTAAGGAAATTTGATTTTTAATGTCCTTAGTTTTTATTTTGTTAAGTATTTTAGTAAGTGTCGTGTCGAAGCAAAGCGGAATCTAGGATATCGAACCATAAATAGGCGAATCTGCCAAAGAATTAGGCCTTTATGAAGCGAGTGGTTAAGCAACAGACCGGGTATATTTAGCCTTCCTTCGTGAGGACGTGAGTTCGATTCCTACCAGAAACCGATCTATGAATCGCCTTATTAGGTGTTATCGATATGACAAGGATTCTTGCAATGTTCACAACATTTCAGTAAGCATAATCGTAGCTTGACTTGCATGGATATAGCTAGAGGGATGGAAGTGTTCAAAAGGCACTGGACTCTTATTTTATCCCTAGAATAATTTTTTAAAAACTACATTTTTAAGCAGATCATGCGTAAGACTATCAAAATTGACAAGGAATAAGAAACATTTAAAAAGTAGACCTCAAAAGAATGGGTCATTGAAAAACAAGGTTCTGGCCATACGTCTTACATTCAATTTATGCTGCTTCGACCTGCCAAATTTTTTTTAAAACCACCAAACATTTTCCAGCAATAACTTTATATTTCTAATTTTTTCAACATCTTGAATGAATCACTAGAAATTAGAATTCATAACAATCTAATAATAGATGCCACTTAACTCCAAGCGCACTGACCTTACATATTGAAAACATATTCTGCCCAGTAATTTATCTCTGTCTGATATTTTTGTACATACTGTGTGCTTTATGTCATATATTCTGACACTTTATTTCACATTTTATGAAATATTGACACTTCCCATAGTGTGTGGCATATTCATTTATGACGCACGAAAATGTGTACTTTAAGAAAAAGTAAAGCCCTGAGTAAAGCATAAAAATAGTGCTGACTAGCTGCTTGGTTTTTTAGAGGACTGATTATTATGTTTCCTGATTGTTCGCTTTATTTAACCTTAAAAATTGTCAATCTTGGTGGGTTTTAAAAATGTTCTTTATGATTTTTAAAAACATGTCTAGTCAGCCCAAGCATAAGATTCTGTTGTACGTCATAAATCCGCTATGCCTTGTGATTTAGAATTAATGTCTATGTGAGTAGTCTAAAAATATTCACATTCCATTAGAATCATACATGATTGCATATATTAATAGGATTTTTATAGAATTTTAGGTTCATCATTCACTGCTTAAAGCTCAAGGTAGGCGAGTAGCCAGGAGGGTATTGTCCCCCCTTAAACGTTTTGAACTGCATCAAAAGCACTGCCTAAAACGCTGAAGAGGGGCACAAGACCCTTCTGGCTACACGCCTGGCTCAAGGACCAAGTCAAGCCGACAAGTTCCAAAATTAAAATTAATGATTCGATTGATCAGGTCAAGCTAGCATGCACATAAAAAAAACTTTATTAATGAGAATTAATGATGAAAATAATTAAAACCATAAATGACATAAAAAACATAACAAAATTACCAATTAGACATCGAATTAAACAACAATCAATTCACTTAAATTTCATTATTAAAAAATAGTTGGAAAAAATTTACATTTTATTCAAGTCACAGCCGAGTCACAAGAAGATTAAAAGTTTCATTCAACACGTGATAGAGAGATAGAGTTACAGATATATAAACAGATAAAACTGTCGACTAAGTTGAGGCAGTTACCAATTATTAGTATTAGCACTTAATACACTCGCGAGATAAGAACTCAAGTCTAATATTCATAACACATGATAATATACTCCAATTAATTACTTTTTAACGTATTTCTTTTTACTTCTTATACTCAACACATACAACTATACGGTTCGCAATTCAACACTATGATTTAGTTTTTTTTATATAGATTTTTTTTTACTCAATTTTTCAGTTCTGAAAAGAAAATGATAAAGTATGGAGAAAAATAATTAGTATTAAAAAAAAGAAAGTGCAGATAGACTTAATTTTTTTTTGTTTTGTAATAAATTTGATATTTAAAATCAGGAAGAAGAAGAAGAACTAAAGGAGAATAAAATTTTGATATAAACTTAGAGAAAAAATTTGTGAAATAAATGAGGATGATACATCAAACAGAGAATTTTCGCATAGACTCCAATTAAACTACTTTTTATGACACAAAGAAATGAAAGAAAAAAGATTCTTAATTTTATTATTTTTGTATATTTTGTTGCAATAAGTGTCGAGTGATGTTCTCATAGGATTATTGTATATAAAGTGGTTTCTATGTTTTTGTCTGTGAATGGAATGGTTTATTTGGTGTAGGGTGTCTATAAGGTTGGAATTTGTATAGTGAATGTAGGGACTAAGTGTGTGGAAATATAAGATAAAGGTACTAGATTAAGGTTGATACAAAGACTTGATTTAATTGATAGCACTAGATTTAACTAAGACACTAGATTTTGGTTAATATACTAGGTTGAATTGAAGGTACCAGATTGATTAGAAAGTACTAGATTGGCAGAATATACCAGATTGAACGAATGATCTAGATTTAACTCAATATATTCGATTGAATAGAAAGTACTAGATTAATTTAATGTTCTGCATCAACTGAATGTCCTAGATTAAACTGAATATACTACAATGAATTTATGTGCTAGATTATATTAAATGTACCAGGTTAAATTAAATGTTCTTGATTAAACTGAATGAACTAGATTAAACTGAACGTACTAAAGTAAACTGAACATACCAGATTAAACTGAATAAACTAGATTGAACAGAAAGTACTGCTCAGAACTGATAAACTAGATTAAACTGAATGAACCAGACTAAATTAAATTGATTGTTTTGAAATGAGCTGATGGAGTAGATTGAACCGAATATACTAGATTGACTTAAATGTACCAGACTAAATTAAATGCATTAGATTTAATAGAAAGGACAAGATTGAATTGAATATACTAGATTAAATTAAATGTAATAGATTGAACATTAAGGATTAGATTGAATAAAAAGGACTAGAGTTTACTGAATGTAATAGATTGAATAGAAAGCAATAGATTTTACTAAATGCACTAGATTAAACTAAATGTCCTAGGCCAATTTAATGAACGAGATTAGACTGAATGTACTAAGTTAAATGAAATATGCTTGATTAATCTGAACAAACTAGATTAAACTGAACATACCAGATTAAATTGAATGTACTAGATTGAACAAAAAGTACTAGATTTATTTTATTGTACTAGATTAAATTGAATGTATTGAAAGTTCAAAATTTAACTTAAAGCCTATTTTCGATTCTAGACTATAAACCGACTAATCTAGTAACATTTAATATCATTTCATCTAGACATCCAACCCTATATGCATGTGCCATATTCTTTTGTGTAGTAAAATGTAGACTTTTTATGGATTATCCTACCCTGTAGCTGAAGATGATGATGATGATGTTATATTACACAGCATAAAGAAAAAAAGATTTCAGTTTATGGAGAAACACATGAAACTCGCTAAGGAGAAATTTCATTTTCAAAGAGATTTTTTAAGACTTTGTCTTTGTATCTGATGAGAAATAAGGACTTTGTTGTGTGTTTTTGACATGAGAAAAATTTCTGCAGACTTATCTTGTTTTTGAGAATGAAAATTTCAAAAAAAAATTAAACAAATTCTTTAGAATGACTTTTATGAGACTAATCTCTTGAGAGAAAATTGGATTACTTAAAAAAAATGATGAAATTTTGCTGTGTTATGAACTTTGTTGGATGGGAAAGTAGGGAAGGGGTGGAAGGTTACGAAATTAAGTATTCCTTGGATCAGTTTAAGTGGATTAAAATTAGGTTAGAGTTAAAATTACCAATTTGTGGGAAAAAATTTTGATTAATTTTGGGATTTCATTTGAAGTCATGAATTTTGGCGGGAAAGACTTTGAATGGCTTCAAAAATTTTAAAAGTACTTTCTTGCTCGTTTTACGTTCCAATTCTTTAATTACTTTCAATAAATTCAATCAATATTTTTAATAATCTCCAAATTAAATTCATAAATAACCCAAATAAGCTTCACTCGACATCACAAACATCAAAAGTTAAATGAAGCAGATCATCAAACTTCTATTAAACAAATATTGATTGTTGAAAAAGATGATAGTGTGTCGAGTTGAACACCTGCAGGTTAGTTTGCTTCCACATGACTCATTTATATTCAGTAAAAGACACATGAAAATTTTACTATGTAGATCATTCCATTAACCTTTACGACTCATTGTGTATGTGGATTTCATTCAAGTTGGAATAATTTTGAAAGGATTAATTTATTTTTAAAATTTTTACTGGTTTGATATGATATGTGTTACGGTTGAGTTCTAAATTAAACATTTTATGAGAGTGATTAGTTCTTTGAATTTGTTTAAAGTTGATGAATGTAAAGCAGGTTGTTGAGAATAGATTTGAAGAATTTGCGGATTGTTCTGATGCATTAATTTTGACTTTTTCAAGCATTTTTTGAATTTAATTTGTAATGTTATCTAATATTTTTCCAGTTTTTAGAACCTAGTAAGTTCTTAGACTCAAGTAAGTTCTTAGACTCTAGTAAGTTCTTAAACTCTAGTAAGTTCTTAGACTCTAGTAAGTTCTTAGACTCTAGTAAGTTCTTAGACTCTAGTAAGTTCTTAGACTCTAGTAAATTCTTAGACTCTAGTAAGTTCTTAGACCTTAGTATGTTCTTAGACTCTAGTAAGTTCTTAGACTCTAGTAAGTTCCTAGACTCTAGTAAGTTCCTAGACTCTAGTAAGTTCTGAGACTCTAGTAAGTTTTTAGACTCTAGTAAGCTCTAAAAACCTAGTAAGTTCTTAGACTACTAAGTTCTTAGACTCTAGTAAGTTCTTAGACTCTACTAAGTTCTTAGACTCAAGTAAGTTCTTAGACTCTAGTAAGTTCTGAGACTCTACTAAGTTCTTAGACTCTAGTAAGTTCTTAGACTCTACTAAGTTCTTAGACTCTAGTAAGTTGTTAGACTCTAGTAAGTTCTTAGACTCTAGTAAGTTTTTAGACTCTAGTAAGTTCTAAAAACCTAGTAAGTTCTTAGACTACTAAGTTCTTAGACTCTAGTAAGTTCTGAGACTCTAGTAAGTTCTTAGACTCTAGTAAGTTCTTAGACTCTAGTAAGTTCTTAAACTCTAGTAAGTTCTTAGACTCTAGTAAGTTCTTAGACTTTAGTAAGTTCTTAGACTCTAGTAAGTTCTTAGACTCTAGTAAATTCTTAGACTCTAGTAAGTTCTTAGACCTTAGTATGTTCTTAGACTCTAGTAAGTTCTTAGACTCTAGTAAGTTCCTAGACTCTAGTAAGTTCCTAGACTCTAGTAAGTTCTGAGACTCTAGTAAGTTTTTAGACTCTAGTAAGCTCTAAAAACCTAGTAAGTTCTTAGACTACTAAGTTCTTAGACTCTAGTAAGTTCTTAGACTCTACTAAGTTCTTAGACTCAAGTAAGTTCTTAGACTCTAGTAAGTTCTGAGACTCTACTAAGTTCTTAGACTCTAGTAAGTTCTTAGACTTTAGTAAGTTCTTAGACTCTAGTAAGTTCTTAGACTCTAGTAAATTCTTAGACTCTAGTAAGTTCTTAGACCTTAGTATGTTCTTAGACTCTAGTAAGTTCTTAGACTCTAGTAAGTTCTTAGACTCTAGTAAGTTCTTAAACTCTAGTAAGTTCTTAGACTCTACTAAGTTCTTAGACTCTAGTAAGTTGTTAGACTCTAGTAAGTTCTTAGACTCTAGTAAGTTGTTAGACTCTAGTAAGTTCTTAGACTCTAGTAAGTTTTTAGACTCTAGTAAGTTCTAAAAACCTAGTAAGTTTTTAGACTACTAAGTTCTTAGACTCTAGTAAGTTCTGAGACTCTAGTAAGTTCTTAGACTCTAGTAAGTTCTAAAAACCTAGTAAGTTCTTAGACTACTAAGTTCTTAGACTCTAGTAAGTTCTGAGACTCTAGTAAGTTCTTAGACTCTAGTAAGTTCTTAGACTCTAGTAAGTTCTTAAACTCTAGTAAGTTCTTAGACTCTAGTAAGTTCTTAGACTCTAGTAAGTTCTTAGACTCTAGTAAGTTCTTAGACTCTAGTAAATTCTTAGACTCTAGTAAGTTCTTAGACCTTAGTATGTTCTTAGACTCTAGTAAGTTCTTAGACTCTAGTAAGTTCCTAGACTCTAGTAAGTTCCTAGACTCTAGTAAGTTCTGAGACTCTAGTAAGTTTTTAGACTCTAGTAAGCTCTAAAAACCTAGTAAGTTCTTAGACTACTAAGTTCTTAGACTCTAGTAAGTTCTTAGACTCTACTAAGTTTTTAGACTCTAGTAAGTTTCGTTATTGATCTGCTTATAATTCTTTGGAAATCTATGCTATTTTAAATCCCCAACAACTACAAATCTTACAAACAAAGCAACTTTTGTAAGTATATTGACGACTAAAAACATCAAAACATCCTTCTCAAATCCATCCAGTATCCAGGTATGAAAAGCATAATATCCAGGACAATCTATTGTAATATTTAAAATACCCAATCAAATCTAATATTTTTTCCCTTCAATGGATTTATGAATAATACGAAATTTTCTTAAAGAACAACACGAGTGTACTTAAGTCAAATAAGGATGGTGTTAAGGAAGTGAGTGTAATGTGCTCTCATTCGTACATTTGTGAAGTGAATCAAGTGGGATTTTGTGCTGTTGTAAAATTAACGACAAAATAAGTAAAAGAAAAAAACATTTTTTATGTGA